AAAAAAAAAATTACATAAACGATTTTTCTCAAATTAGTACATGTAAAATTTCTTATCATTGTTATTCTTTTCCTATACTTACTATGAATTCCTTCCCAACCAAGTGTAAACTACAATTGGAGTGTGCAGAAGGACAAGACAAGCAAAGCATACTGCGCAGTGAGCACTACGCAGTACGCGCAGTTCTGCCGATTCGGCATTTCATTTCGGCCATTCGGCATCCAATCCTCCATTATCCACAATTCACATTACTATTATCTACAATTCACACTTCCCCACACAGCCAATATTAAGTTTATCAGCTCCGAACTGAACACAACCTCTCAGTTGATTCTCAGGTTTCACGTCTCAGTGCACATTGAGCTGTTCTTGAGCATACACTTAGTATTGCATAATTAAAAGTCGCAATTGTGTAGGGGGTTTAGTTGAAATAGTGCGATACTTAGTTGTCCCAAGTGATTAATAAAAATCCACAAGAGAACAAAAGCACCAACATTCAAGATGTCTTGTAATGGAATGTACGAGCTCATCGCGCACTCATAAGGATTGGAGACGACAAGTTAAAAAAGAACGACGCAGACGCCTGAGACGGCTAGCCGCGCGAGCTAGAGACGGGGAGGCCGAGCGCCTGAAGCAGCGGCTAGAGAACGATCCGAACTACGCTCGTTGGCAAGAAGAACAGGCCAAGCTCGAAGCCAAGCGAGAAAAACTCGCCGAGGAAGAGCACGTCAGGGCCGAGAAAGCTTGGTTAGACGCCGAGGTATGCACACTTACGCACACATCCGTGAATATCTGTAACGTTTTTTTTTTTTCTTTCCCTCTATCTGGTTTTTTTTTGTTATTAATTATATCGTGCATTTACTGTCCGTTATAACAATACTCCAGTACTTGATATACATGTACTTGATCGTTGACGACTTTTGCTAATGCGTTTGCACGTGGTGGTTCTTGCTGCTGCTACTCTTCTGTGTGTCTGTAGGTTAAGGCACAAAAGGAGTGGCAAGTGCTACAAGCAAAAAGGGCGAAGGCTCGGGAGTTGCAGTTAGAACAAGAAGCCAAAATTCGTAAAGAATACGAAGAGATGCAAGATACCGCCAGGAAAAAGAAAGAAGCAGAGCGGCGTCGCCGCGATGAGCAGAAAAAGCTCTTCGACAGAATGAAAAAGGAGATCGATGCCTACATTGACGACGGCGCCAGGACCCCTAAAGCTCTGAGGACTCTCAATGAGACTCAGCCGGGCAAAGAGATCTGTCCCTTCTTCAACAAGACGGGTGCCTGTAGGTACGGCGACATATGCTCCAGAAATCACCAGAGACCTGGTTTGAGCACAGTCATCCTTGTGCCAAACTTTTACACTCATTTTTCTCTGGAAAGACACAGAGACGAGTACGATACCGATAATAGATTGGAGTATGACCACAGAGAGACCCGCAATCACTTCCGTGACTTTTATTTCGATGTTGCACCAGAGCTTGAGAAGTTTGGTAAAATCAAGACCTTGCAATATTGTAAGAATACTGAATCTCATCTTAGAGGAAACCTTTACGTTGAATACATGACCGAGAGAGAAGCTGCAAGTGCTCTGCGTGGCTTGAAGGGCAGATGGTATGCAGGGAGACAATTACACTGTGAGTTTGTCAATCTAAAGTCCTGGAGAGGTGCCATTTGCGGGATGATGCGTTGCCCCAAGGGAAGTTCGTGCAACTTTTTGCACACTTTTAGAAATCCCACTGACGACTATGGAGTTAAAAGTCCACCGCTGTGGCAGAAAAGACAAGAAATGTTCGAAAAGGGAGGCAGTACTAGAGACAGCTCCTCTCGCAGAGGCAACACCAGCAGCAGGTATTCATACGATTTAAAACTAATATCATGTAATTTGATAAAAAAAAGTATCTCAACCAAGATAACTGATTTTTCTTTAATAATCTATGTAATAATCATACTTATTTATTGTTAACATCATGTCCAATTCATATAGAAAAATATTCAGAACTATAACCTATAATTACTGATTCAATTTACTATAAATCTTTTTATAAAGTTGACCAATATTTTGAACAAACAAAATACGTTCATTTTTATTATTCAAGCAAAACGCCATGAGATAAGAGCGCAATATATTACTTTTTCTTTAACTTGATGCGCAATAATGCATGAATCAAATCGCAGTCTTAATTGTTGCAACAAAAGATTATTTTGTAATTCCAATCACCGAAGCAGTCGTGTATAATTTTCTAACCCCTCTAACTGTAATTTTAGAAAATCAAACTGGGAAGATAATGACAATCAAGATAGAAGAGACAAAAATTGGAGATGGTCAGAATCTCCAGAGCCCAATGATAGAAGATACGATAATAGAGGAAGGCAACAAAATCAATTTAATAACAGGCCTATGCAACGGAATAATTTCCAGCGCAATAACCAGTTCAACAATAACAATCGTAATTTTGATAACCGAAGAGACAACCGCAACTTTTACAACAATGACAATAGACAAAGGCAAAGGAATTTCAATGATAATCGAAATCGGTTTCAGCAAGACGACCGAGATCGTTACAATAGACCACAGCAGCAAAGGTGAAAATCATTACTTTTTGTTAAAACCGAATTCTCATTGCAAACCATTTTTTATGTTTGTGATTAATGTTTTATTTTCACGTGCAGGCGACAAAACTTTGACAGATTCAGACGGTTCTCTGGCTCAGATGACGGTGAAGATTACAAAATGAATAAACGTCGCGAGAGGCGCTCCATGGACCGGAAGAGTAGATCTCGATCTCGTTTGCGATCTCGTTCTCGATCGGGCAGCCGATCGCGCTCCCCATCTAGATCGCCATCGCGCTCACGCTCTCGATCGCGCTCTCGGTCTCGCTCGCCATCCCATTCAGGATCTCGTTCTCGATCACGCTCTCGCTCGAGGACCCGCTCTCGTAGTATGATGAACGAACAGATGATTGACATTGAAGAACTCAGGGGTAAAAAGGGCAGACCTGTGCACTCCGCCAGTAGATCTCCCTCTCGGGAACGCAAACGCAGACCACCATCGCCAGATGCCAAAGACAGAGGACATGGAAAGGTAGGTCGTAATTTTCACGACAGCTAGCGACGAAACGAGATATTTCTGTTTGAAAATTGAGTTCTTTGTATTTACAGGTCATCAGAAAACCACCGAGTCAGGGCGTTTCTAAATGGGATAATGAAAAACGTGATTCAAGCCCAAGATGCCGGGACTCTCGTTCACGTTCACCCTACAGAGGTAGTAAACAGAGTAAAGATAATCAGCCCAGTCACCGTCACCATCCATCATCAACTATACAACAGGCTCCACCGCAACAGTCATCCAAACACTCGTCAGATAAACCTAGATCTAAGGGTCAAAAAGATTATGAGTGGGACACGACCGATTCAGACAATGAGTGATTTTTTTGAGCAATTTTATAAATAATTACACTGTTAGTGTATGATAATGAATATATTCCTCATTTCAATTTCGTGACTATATGGCTAAGGGTCACCAGGATACGACGATTTAAAGATCAGATAATTAGATTTTAATCCATTATACATGTATTGACTTGATTAAATAGATATTAGAGGTAATATTCTGCACTTGCTTTCTTATGGCACCTGTTTTTAGCAACTTGGCATTTTCAAAAGTTTGTAAATTATACGAGACTCGCTAAACATTGGGTGCCTTTCAAACACAGATTACTTTGTCATTCCAAACATTGAACATAGACATGCTCGCTTTTTTTTAGATATTCCAGTACTGTGACTCGCTTCTATCAAATCAGACATAAATTTCCTTTAGATTGTCATGATTAATATTATATTTGTGCATTGCAAACGAAAGTGAAATTTTTTTGTTTGTGTGCTCATTTGTATATTTTGGCACAATCAGCTTCAGTTGATTTAATAGGTATTCAAGGCTTAAGCAAGATTATAAGGGAAGCAGAATGTTAAAAAATAAATTTATTTACATCCAGTAGATTGTAACCATCGCGATGGTTGAACTTGGTGAATTCTACGTTTAACTATCATAAACGTTACTTACTGGTAAATAAAAAACAAATGGCACTGTAGCGGTAAAACGAGCATTTCCGTAGTCTTGGTCCGGTAATACTTATTTTAGAGGAAAAGGGACTGTAAGTTCGAGATTAAACGGGTTTTATGCGAAGCTTTTACGTCTTATACCGAGCATGATTATTACGTAAAAAGTAGACCAACTCAGTTATTTTATTTATTCAGTATATCAGATCATATGAGCATTAGATTATATATTTTTATAATAATTTGAATTAAAAATCAGGGATATGAGCACAGATAATATTATGCAGTATTTGAGTACAGATCAAGCATTAGACATCGCGTATTTTGTGGATTATAGAAAATTAACAGTATTCCAGATTAAAAGTCATATTTTTGGTGGATCTTCTGCTGGAAAGGTAGCAGTTTGGATTGTAAATAGTATCCACGTCTGGTTCAGGTAAATTTAATCCTTATTAGTTCATGACCATTATTTATATTCATTTTCTGTTTAACAACATGATTCCAACTTAATATTACTTCAAAAAAAAGGCAATTTTTCGGTCTGGTTTAATCGAAATAACTGAGCTTGGCTAATAAACGATTTTTTTATATTTAAATACAATTAGTTATACGTTGATCTTGTTCCATTGCAAGCTTAAACAACCTCATTAATAAGTTTAATTTAATTTGTAGGATATACAAATTCAGTGAGTTTAAACATGCAATGATTTATAAAAACTTTTTTATATTATACGATTTTAATGATAATATCGCATAAGTGTATGAAAGGAGAATAATTTTTTTTTTTCACTTAAATATATGAAAAAAATTAATTCTCAATACTACTACGAAACTTTTCTTCAGAGTAAAAAATAATCAAGAAATTTAACATTTTAATTGAATTTAATTGAGCCATCATACACCTATACTATGTATAACTACTTAAATAAATATGTATAAATAATACTTCTACAATATAGTAGCATTGTTATATAGAATTATGGGAATTTTTAGTAAGTATAAATAGAATTATTGTGTCTTAGATTTTTTTAGTTGTGAGTCTATGAACGCAATAAAACTCGTTGATATGTGTATAATTTTGATCTAATTTTCATTGAAACGCTTTATTTACCGTTTTACAAACTTACTAGCGTCGTAAATTAACTCTGTCACATCATATATTTCACTATCTCCTTGTCTTTATTTATATACTTGCCAATACACTGTTTCAATATTAATATCTAAGGTTTGAAAGATTAACAAAACTATTCTTGTACAGATAAAAGTTAAATAAATTTTTTTTAAAGTCGTGAGGAAAATATAATTTGAGTAACTATTTTTATATTTTTTTTTAAAGATGGGAAACTATAAATAATAAAAAAAGNATTTTTATTTTTTTTTAATACAGAGAAAAGTATGAGTTTATCAGAGAAAAAAAAATAAAAAAATAGTTGGCTGTAACGTTGAAAATACTTTTGTAATGAATAGATAAAATCTTACGAAGATTTATCATGTATAAAAAAAAACTCTCCAAATATGCCATTTTAAAATGAAAAAAAACTCTTACGGTGTTTCGCAATAATCTAAATACTGATTTTCATTTTCCATTTTCAGTCCATGGAAAACTATGGTTAGATACTGGAATTGCATCAGCTATTTTATGAATTACGTGGAAAAAGTATATTAGCTAGCACTTAGAAAATTTAATTCATACAAAGTGAATTAGATAATTGAATATTCAGAATTTAGAGATATAATCAGTAATAACCAAAATAATTATTTTTATAAGTGTTGTTGATCCTGTGATATCCCATTCAATATTTGTCTGGACAAGTGATAATATTGGCCCACACGGCCATGCCTAGTCAGATTGGTAAAGTTTTCTGTAAAATAATTAGTTTTATATTCGGAAAATCCATGAAAAAAGGTAAACAACTTCTTTCTGGTTGTCGTGGGTTACATGTTGAACTTTTCTCACAGTATACAGCTTATTTTTCAATATTTTTATTTTTTTCAAGCTAGTAAAATGAAGTCGCCTATTATGGACCAGTTTTATAAAAAAACCTTCAATTTTACTTATAATAATAGTCCAGACGTTTTAAAAGTGCTCAAAACTAAATTGAAACGTAAATAAAATAAACCAGGGGTTTTGTACTCTTGTATGCATTTATGAGCTATAAGAATGTGTACTTAAACTATAATTTTTTTTTCAAACAAGTATACATTCTTACGATTTCATAATACCCACTTGAGCGTTGGTCCATACTAGGTGACTTGTGATAATATTTTATGTATCATATTTTTCGATAGTGAAGAAATGCAGTGTTTTATAAAAAAATATACTCTCTACGAATTCCGAGTGTAAATTTTATGTAACTAGTAATTTGTGGCCTATTGTAAAAAGCCTTTAGCCGTTTGTGGCTCGACTTTTATACCAATTATTATACAGAGTATTTATGTGGTTACCAGTTTTTAAAGTATATACAAAGCCAGATATGCCCTGCCCACGATCAAAGAAATATTACAAACGTGTAATAGTATTAGTAGTGCAAACGATTTTACCAAAGACACGAGATTTCAGTTATACGATACAAATCCAGCCTCCCATCAGAATGTCGGCAGAATTTAAGTGAAAAATAGTCAAGTTCGCATCAAACTGCAGATAACGAGACTTACTTATTATTATAGTATGCATTAAAAAGACTGACATATTATATATAAGAGCAAAGTTCAGTGATGTATACTTTTTTTTTAAATATGATATTTTCTATATTTCTATGCATTTAATACATTTTATACTTAATTTTGTTTTACATTTGGAGCAAACCTGAGAATCTATAAAAAAAATTTTCAATTAATTTGAAAATTTTTTTTTTTCACGGTAAGTTTTCTATTCCCACTAATAATATACAGTAACCCAAGTTCATCGCACTGCGGATGCATTATAGGAAAACATTTCAAAAAAATTTCCAAGTAAATTTAGAGGCGATGATTAAGCACACCCATTGAAAGTCCCATTAAAATTCCTGAAATCGCTCATTGCTGTGAAATGTTATACGTGTAAAATATGAACAAAGTGCGGTAAAAGATACCACTTGGCAGAGGATACGTATCACAACGTGTGTGTAGTCAACAAGTACTTATGTCACGTATATACTTGTGGACATTTCAGAATCCCTTATTGATCACCTGATCAGTAACTTTCACAAAACTTTTACATTACTTATCATGAGAGATTTCATGCATGCGATAATCGCAAGCTTTAATCGATAGATTTGGTGTCGCGACAAGTGATAAGCTTAAAAAAAATCCATAACATTACTTTACTAGAACGATAAGCTGATGTTTGTACTTTTGGCAATCTAACTTTTATCAGTTGATTGTTGCAAAGTCACTTCTACCGCGCAAATAGTAAAAATTACTGTACAAACAGTTTGCCATTCATTATAGCACAGTAATTTTTAGAAGAAAACCCAAAAGAAAAAACCGTTTACTGCTTGTTGTTGAATTAACAGTTGCATGTAACTTTTTTCGTATTTGTATAAGTTTTGAACATTTTTTCACGATGACTAATACAGTCGTTAGAAAAATAGGTTTTATTGAAATGAAATAACAACTAAGACGTTTACACGAAATCATGAAATATTTTTCTACAATCAACATAAATATATGGCTTACGGAATTGCAAATTCGTAATTTTTTTCCAACACATTAAATACATGTTTCTGTTTAAAAAAGAAAGATTTGTATACAACTGTATAGAGTTTTGCTAAAAACAAATTTGAGAAACATGTCATATACCCAGTGATGTGAAAAGTACAAAATGTGTCATTCTAACGTATGTGCATACGTGTGCGTGTGTTATCGCAGTCGTACTTCAGAATTTCCTTGGCCTGATTGTGTTCGTTTGAATCTTAAATTTGTATTTCCTTTTTCTCATAAGTAACTCAAACACGTTGTTTTTCTATACGTTTGTCCGGAGTAATATTTAAAAAATTTGATTAAAAGTAGTAATAAACATAGCAAACTCGTATTTTTGAAAAATTTCGTGTTTACTATTTAAAAAGTTCGTCATTTTTATGAAAAATAAAAAGTGGATGCAGTACTGATACAAAATTAAAATAAACATTCAAAATTAGCAGATAACAAAATCCTACTAAAAAAGTTAATAAATTAAGACCTCTCGTGTCAATTACTTGACTGTGGCTTTCGTACGGCGTGAATCTGTATTTTTTTTTTAATTTATGAAGCGTCCTTTATCAATTATTTTAAAGTATATTACTTTTTCCGCCCTCGGGTGGTTTTGGGAGGCTGGTACTGCCTCGGGCAAAAAAGCAGTTTTCCGGAACTCGTTCGAAAAGTCTCCTTTACGAACCTCGTTACGTCCCTCGCCTTTGGCTCGGGCCGCAAACCTCTCGGTTCGCAAACAGAGACTTTTCAAACTCGTAGGAAAACTACTATTTCGCAATAGTGTGCGGAAAATGGGTGTTTTCCGCACTGGTATTAGTGTGGAAAATCGATTTTCCCACATAGTGTGCCGAAAAGGTGTGTGTAAAAGGTTTTTTCGCAAAAGTGTGCGGAAAATGGGTGTTTTCCGCACTGGTATTAGTGTGGAAAATCGATTTTCCCACATAGTGTGCGGCAAAAGGTTTTTCCGCACAGTGTGCGGAAAAGGTGTGTGGCAAAGGTTTTTCCACACAGTGTGTGGAAAAAGTGTGCGGCAAAGGTTTTTGCCGCACAGTGTGCGGAAAAGGTGTGTGGAAAAGGTTTTGCCACACACCGGAAAAAATTTTGCTACACACTGGAAATCAAAATTCAAACCTATTTTGTACCTATTTTCCTCACACATTGCGAAAAAACTTGTACGCAACTCGTGCGGGACGATTTCCCACACTCGTGTGATAGACTCGCACTCGTGGCCGGTGACGGTAACTCGTACCTTGCGATCACACTCGTGCTACGCACTCGTGTGCTCAACTGGTACTTGTTCCCGTCAACTCCGGCACTCGTGTGAGTCAATCACTACTCGTGCGGGAAATCGTCTTTTCCGCACTTGTTACGTAAATAACTATTCCACTCGTGAAACTTGCTTAAATAAATAATTTCGACACATCGGATACAACGTAATCGCTATTAGTCTATACGCTGCTACCAGAATACAACGAAATACATATCTCTCTGTTTTGTTAAATTCAGCATTGATTGTATTTACTTTCACGAATCCACGTGCAGTGCTCAACACTCGAGTCTCCGTTATCCAAGATCAATCCATGTTTAACCGAAGTAGCGAAGGCGTATAGACGTGGGTCCGAGGTGCGTTTGCTATAGTAATTATTTTTACAATCTCCTATCGCATCGAAGCACTTTTAACGCCACGCATCCATCACTTTGATAAGCTGCTATCGTTCGTTCTTGCTTTAAATTCACCTACGACTCGAGCCCGTTCCCCTGATAGTGAAACCACCGGAAAGAAGAACAACGCGCTTGTAGTCGTCGTTTGCGCTCCCCCTTGCGAAGTACAAGCATGGAACTTTTCTGCCCCATCGTGATTTTGTCGGTCCTGGCGTCGAGCGAGGCCGTCGGTTTTCACGGGTTCCACTTCAAAGGGCTCGAGGAGCCGAGCTGGCTGGGATCGCGCACGATAACCGAAAAATGGATCGAGCAGACGCTGGACCACTTTAACCACCGCGACGATCGCACCTGGAACATGGTATACACGTTTAACGCACTCCTCGTAAAAATAATGATAATTCAAGTACACGCCTTGTTTAACGAAACGAAAAAAAAAAAAAAAATAGCGATATTACGAAGAAGACAGGTATTTCAACGGCACTGGGCCGATACTCGTGTTTTTGGGCGGCGAGTGGGAGATAAGCCCGGGGTACTTGAATTCTGGTCTGATGTACGAAATCGGCAAACAGCACGGGGCCCTTATGTTTTACACCGAGCACCGCTACTACGGGAAAAGCGAACCAACCAAGTAAAATGCCCCTTTTTTTTATTCATTAAACGAGGAAGGTACGATTTTTTTTTTTTTTTTTTTTTTTTTTTTTTTTTTTTTTTTCCACGTGCAACACAGGAACTTGAGCTCGGCGAACATGCAGTATTTGAGCGTGGATCAAGCCTTGGCTGACGTCGCTTACTTTGTGAAGGAAAAAAAGGCCGAGCGCGAAGCGGAGGACGCAAAGGTCGTTGTTTTTGGCGGGTCGTACTCGGGTAACATGGCTGCTTGGATGAGGATAAAATATCCCCACTTGATCCAGGTGAGCGAGAAGAATAATGTTCCCATCGCCTGTTGGAAAGAGTCTTGTTTGATGGTTGATTTTGACGACAGGGTGCCGTGGCGAGTAGCGCGCCGGTTTACGCCAAGGCGGATTTTTACGGTAACGATTTCCGCGCGAGCGATCGCCCGTCCGTTGCCTTTGGACCGAAAATTAATTTGCTCCTTCCGTTGTTGTAGAGTATTACGAAACTGTTACCGAAGCTCTCAAACGACACGGCGATGAGTGCGTGGCGAGCGTGAAAGTTGCGATCGAGCAAACCGAGGAGATGTTGGCTTCACAGGCTGGCGCGGAAATGATTCAAATTCTGTTCAAGTAGGTTTTTCGCTTCTCCGACTCGGGTACCTTTTTAATTACATTGAGGCATAACCAGGATGAAGAATCGGTATATAAAGTCTCTTTTTGTCAATAGACTTGATTGTCAGAGGTATACCACCATCATTGAAAACAATCGTAAAATCATACTATTCGTCGATACTTTCAAAACGAGTAAATTAGTTCTGAATTTCTGTATTAGAAGTAACAATCCTAGCTATGTCTTTGTATTATTTTTTGTAAACACGAGTTGTTTACGAACTACTTTTTAACGTTTTAGTCTCTGCAGTGCTGTAAACGTGACGTCTAGAAATGAAGTCAGTTACTTTATGAACTACGTGGCAGAAGTGAGTGTGGGCATTGCATCTATCTACAGCAAAAAAGAAAAAAAAAAAAAAAAAAACTATAACGATTAAAATTTTCTGAAACGCGAAGAAATTCGCCGGTGCAGTGCAATACAACAAAGGAGGAGTTGGGCGCAACAGTACGATCGGCGGCCTCTGCGCCACCATGGCAGATAAGAAAATCGGCGCCCCCGTCAAAAGGCTCGCAACTCTGTTCAAAAAAGAGTCGTGCACCAAAGACGCCGATTACTCGAACTTCCTGGAGACAATGAGATCCGAGAAATTCGAGCCCTCTGAAGCTAGTACTTATCAACGAACCGCACATATACACGTTATATGGGACCTGACATTGATTTGCGACTGAAATTTCGATTAAATTTGTAGCAAGGCAATGGTTCTTCCAAACGTGCACCGAGTACGGATACTATCAGACGACCAACTCGAGCCGATCCGTCTTCGGGACCCTCTTCGAGCTCGATTTCTTTGTTGACTTGTGTCAGAACCTCTACGGCGAATAGTGAGCGATTACATATCGATTCGTCGACAATCGAATTTATCAATACCCTATTTTCACTCGACAGAGTCTTGTTATTTCAGCTACGACAAAAATTTGCTCGAGTACGGCGTGAGCCGAACGAACATCCAGTACGGCGGGAGACTTCCGGACGTGACGAATGTTATTTTCACTAACGGAGACGTCGACCCTTGGCACAGGCTCTCCGTACTGGAGGATCTGAACGAGTCCTCGCCGGCGATCCTCATTTCTGGTACGAAGGGTCGTTTTGTCCCTTTTTACTTACGCAGCGCGATGAAAACTGGTGTTGATTGTTTTTGCAGGTACCTCCCACTGCGAGGACTTGAAGTCATCGAAAAGTGCGAGGACATCGCCTGAATTGGAAGGTGCGAGAAAAAGGGTCAACAAACTCGTTTCAACATGGCTTATTTAGGAACTGATGTAATATAAACGTGTATTTGGGTGAGAGTATGAAAAAACGATTGCCATGAGTCGATCGGTACATATTTATTACTGATAAATGTTTTTTTTTTTCTTCCACTAATTAAAATATCTTAATACTTTCTTATAATCAATACATTTCTTAATTACTAAAGATTTTGTACAATTTATATATATATACGTCGTGCAGGATATCGAGAAAAAAGAAATTGAATCAATAAAGTATGTGGACGTGGTTTTGTGCCAAATTATAGATACTGTGGGTTCCTGCCGAAAGTCATTGAAAAAAATTTTTTTTTGCAGAGGTGCTTTATAACATCACCTTCTCGAGTGATCGATTAAAAAAAAAAAAACTACAAACTTATTCCAACGGGATAAGTAAAAAAATACCTATAATACACGTATATTGTGTGCACCGTATGCTCGACTCCACCAACACAAGTGCATCAACTTTAAAAGAAAAATACTACAAACCCTACGACTGAACTTGCGTATAAAAAAATGTATACAAAGAGAGAGAGAGAGAGAGACGCGAGCGCGCTTCTGTTGTTACTTATCTCTTTTCGCGCACTGACGTGCGCCAATAAAGGCACTCTTTGAACTTTGAGTGCACGATAAAAATGACGATACGATGTGAATTGTTGGCGATTGGGATCAGTCGACTTCGAGTTTCCGGAAGGAGCCGCAGACACCGTGCATCGTCGACTCGCCGGTCTGGTTCGAGCAGTTGAAGCCCTGTTTCAGAGCCGAAACGGCGCCCTCCCGCGCCTTCTCCGAGTACATCTCCTCGCGCACCCTCATTTTGTCGTGGCTCAACAGGGTCGGTCGCATCTCGAGCAGCTCCTTGCGCCACGCATCTGCACCAACGGACAAACAATTATTCGATGCAAGTAGCTTCAATACGACGTTTTTTCGATAAGGTTTCCCCATTGAAATCGCGATGTTTTTAACTTTGAGTATAAAAAAACAGACAATTCGTTGATGGTAGAGGTAAAGGTCCGTAGACGGATAATAAAGTAAACCAATGAACCCTGATTCCCGAAGATTGAGCAACGAGGTTTCGTTGCTCGACTAGAAAATGTTTCCACGTAGCCGAAACAAGCCGGGTCGGAGGGAAACTGACCGATCATGTCCTTCATGGGGATGGTGCCGCCGTACTCCTTGGGGAGCATGCTGGTGTCCATCTTGTTGTTCTTGGCGTCCTCGAGGCTGGTGTAGAGCTTGACGCGGCTGCGTATTTTTTCCGATATCAAGGACATGCCGAAGTCGAGGGCGAACTTGAGCGACGGATGGGCGTTGATCGCGTGCACCTCCTTGTGCCGCATCGGCAGCGTTCGCTTAAAGAAAGAAAAGGGGGAATAAGTAGCGTATCCCTTTCTTCGGTGGCCTTGAACGCTCCCCCGTGTCCTTTTTTTTCCAAAACATTATGGGACTCAAACGAGTTTTTCTGTCCCCTTCGAGTACTCCTAACCACTCGGTCGTACTTAAGGTCGATAATGCACGGGTATATGTCGTGTACACACGAGTGTTGAAAAATAAAACAAATAACAATGAAAGAGCCATTGTTGTCCAAAAGTTCTTCGACTTCTTGAGACATTTTAACATTTTCTTGTCAATAGGCGCGAATATGCATTCAAACGCTGTGCCACTTTGATGTTTTATGAGCAGTTTTGCATTTCACCTTCTGTTTCATGAATTATTCAATAAAGTTTCAGCATAGGCCTTTTGGGATCCGTGTTTTGCCGTCTCACACATGAGAGTACGAGCGCTTGGGAAGAAAAATTAATTTTCAAAGTAGCGTTTTTGTCGAGAGGCATCAAACGTCGCAATATTGTTGACCGATAAGCTTTTTCTTTGGTTTCACCGTTTTTGTTCAAAACCCCGATGCGTTGCAAAAAAAAAAGCACCAATACAGGTCTCACGTTATCAGCCGAAAAAAAAGCCACACAGCTGGGAGGCCCAAGTCTCGCTGCTTCGTAATAATCGCGCCCAGTGACCCAATTTCACCTGAACCAGCGGGAGAAAGACGACGACGGGAGCGTCAAACCGGTTTCAACAGCTCCCCGCTGGATATATACATATATGCGTCAACTCACCGAAATTACGCGCGTGTCCTTGAAAAAAGCCCACTCGCTCACGTTATCGCGTAACTCGTATATTGTATAACCCTAAGGATCAAAGTAGATCTTTGGCCCGAACGAAAGTGTCCGGATTTTATTCGAGAGGGGAATCCGTCCGGCCTTGCTCGTCAAGGTGCGCATCGTAAATCGTCGCGAGTGGGTGTAGAGCCATCTATGTATCAAGGCCGTTGGAGGGCTTACCTCGCCGTTCTTGACGATGCGCACGGCCTCCTTGGGCGTGAAGAGGGTCAGATGGGGAAAACTAACCCCGGCACCGTCGGCAAAGTGCACGAAGCCTCGGATCTGGTTCTCCTCGTCCTCCATGAGGCTCTCGTACGTTATCCCGTGGATCTTGCACATGTCCGCGTTGGTGAACTTGTATGGGTCGAAGACACCTGTAACGACGACCGCGCCCATACGACAAAAGGGTCAGGGGAAGTTTGTCTCAAAGTAATTCGCCGCGTCTCGATCCTATACTGTGCTTTTATGCGCGATATGATGTACAAAAAATCGTGGTAATAAAGGGGATGCCAAGTGAGAGAAAAAAAAAAAAAAAAAAAAATTACACGAGGGCCGCTCTCTTACCGTACGAATGCGTGAAAAATCCACTGATATCGTTGTCAAATACATTTTTTATTTTTTAGTAGCGACATAACAACAAGCGAATATTCCAAGCTGGCGAGACGTTTTCACTGATTCGAGTTAAAAGAGCAGCCACGAGGGGAGATAGAGTTAATCATCCAAAGTTAGATAATGCACAATTATCGAGCACCCGTCCTCTCACTTCGGAGTCTGGTGGGTAACATTTGAGAAACCATACATTATCCAACTTTGCCAGAGTATATATAATGTTTTCTGTGCTGCGTGCAAGCACAGGCTGCGACAGGGATGCGCTGAATTTATGATTATATTGCTGTTCATCTCGAAAGATCAACAACGATTGTGCTACTATTTTCTTTTGATTCGAGGATCGCGCTCCGGCGATTATCGTTGTTTTTTTTACCGGGTCTTGCGACTATAACGCGGCGGCCCAAATGATCGCGGCCGGGGACGGCGAAGATATAGCTGAAACAATAAAAACACATTTTACATATCTTATAGCCTTATGCGAATGGGTAAGTGTTTATACTGAGAAACTCCTTATAAAAATCGATTAGCCGCTTAGAAATGATAGCTAGCATTGGTTCATCGGTCCATAAGAAAAAAAAAAGGGGCAAAGTTATAAGAAATTTCATTTTGTATGGGCAGTGTGCGGTCGACGCGGTGACCTTACCCCAGTCTCAGCAACTCGTCCATGTTGGGCTCGGTGATGTCGAGCTTGTGAAACGCCGGATGGTAGACCTGGCGCAGAAGGAGGTAGCGCTCGATCGCCTCCTGGGACATGGGCACGTTGAACTTTTTGCAGCGCAAGAATTTCAGCAGGAATTTCCCGTCTGAAAGAGATAAAGGTGTGACGAGGTACGAGTTGACGCTGAAGGCAGGGGAGGAACCAAAAAAAAAAAAAAACAACCACTTACCCATCCTGCAGTTTTCGATGCGCGGGTTCAGTTTGATCCAGCTACGGATCTGCTCCAGGGCCTGGTCGCGCGAATTCTTGTCCTCCCTGAGCTCCTTCTTGGCCATCTCTTGGGTCTCCTCCGAGAGGGTGCACTCGTAGGCGTCCTCTTCCGTGACGTACTCGACCATTTTTCACCGGGTCTCGGATCGCAGGATCGGTTGGAAAAACACGGGACTCTGCGGAAAAATCCATGCGATCATTCATTCGTTTCTTATTGAAAGTTTTTTTTTTTTTTTTTTTTTATCATAATATGTAGATGTCACTACGTATGAATAGCATGAGTGGAAAAAGCACATAGAAAATTAATCAGTTTGCGTTTATCGTTCCTATAACGATCGGGCAATGACTAAGTATGTTGAGAGTCGATGAACACGATTTATAAGTGGAATCGTAGTTTTTTTTCTGACCGGCAACAGGTGTGCGTCATGTATTCATTATCAGTAGCAGTGACGGTATTTATGCTACGTATCTTACGCTGATTGTCCTTTTTTTCACTAAAAAAGTTAATTCAATTCTGTGTGACTAAGATGTACCGATGGATAAAATCGACGACGATACATTGCCCTTTTTTCCTTCGATGCATTGTATCAACGATTGTTCATAAACAGAATGGATAAGCAACGGGTTGTACTGCCTCGTGAAAAATGACAAAAATCCACGACAATTTTGAAAACCGCGTCGCGCAACGTACCTATACTATAGTTGCCGCACAAAACGACCGGGTAGATGTTAATGATGATGTTTTTCCTTGAAACTTTGACGAAACGCAAAAGCCAAGTAATTGACAGTGTATAATTTGTCCTCTCTCCGGCGTGGCCGCAAATAAGCCACGAGCACAAAGAAAAGATGTGCAATTTCCCTTTTATCGGGCCCTGCTGACAACTGACAAAAAAATAATTCAAGAAACTGACCGAGTATTGGAAATGCTCTACTTTTCCAATCCGATGTACATACGGAAGAGAGTCATGCATGCCCCGGACAGTATACAAACAAGCGTGTCAGATTATTTAATCACTCAATACACGGAGGGTGTGCGTGTGCACTGGATTAGTGGCCCACATTTGATGATATATTATACGCATAGGGGAGAAATTCAACCATATTCCAATATAAGTATTATATCAGCCGGCACACCTGTAAACGCGCATTTTGGATCACTCGGAGCAGCTAGTCACGCGAGTGACATAATACACACCGCGGCTGCCGAACTTTCTCCCGCCGGCATATATACACGTACTTACACATACATAGCTCATTCCCGCGTCCTGCCTTACCAAGGCAAGTATATAAATGTATACGGTGGAAGCCCAGCAACTACAGCGCTGGATCGGTATTGCGTAACATAGGTACCCGAGTATACACGTACATATATATATACCTATACTCCCGGGCCCAGAGAGCGGTTGTTCAACCCATAAACTCTCAGTGTTCTTTGTTATACTGTGTGCGGTACAAGCAAACAGCAAAATAATTCTCCTCCTCCTTGCAGCGCTGATCTGATGTTCTTTATATAAATCGGGAAATTTTCGTCTTTTGTGCAAGTAGATTGAAAAATTGATTTCCGAACTTGGGGTGTACGTACAGAGAAGAGATTTAATTTTTATATTCATCGGCGACACGTTACGCTGTATCAAGTCCTCCCGAAAAAAATATCCGCTGATGAAAACACCCGATACCACTATAGATTTCATTAGACGATCTGACGAATGGTCCGGCGATTCGAAGGCTTTCCGATCGTCACTACATGGTAACTCGTTTCGAGTACACGTCGGAAAGAAAAACCAAAATTATTATCATTCCAAAAGTTGCGGGGAGAAAAAAAAAGATCTGTGATGTTGCTGCAACTGTGTGGACCAAGAGAAAAAAAAAATTCCTTCACGATCGGCACCTTCATACGGAATCTGATCCGATATACATATATGTACCTTCGTTGTGTGAATAACGAATTTATTATTTGTCAAACTGGCTTTTATCGTATATAATATTACAACACGTGCTCCCGACTGTATATTATTATCCAATAGTCCCGATTAGCCTGGCCAAGTATGAATTAAAATGTAGGTCAATATAATATATAGGAGCGTCCGGTTAGCTCGGGAGGTAAACGCGCGCCTCGTGATGGAAACACTGAATTTCTTCAAACGCGAGTCTATTACGAAATCCACGTAATACCTACACAAACGCGCGGCTGGAGCCTCGTCATGATGTAAATGTATATTAAATTCCACGGGTAACCTTACAATGTATACACGCCGTTTACATAACCGGAGTCATAACAACGCGCGCGCCCGTGTGCTTTCTTTCGTTTTCCAATTCGCCGCGAACAACAATTATTACATGCCGTAATGTAAAAATCAAAGGAAACTTTTTTTTTTATCCCTCCCCCATCCCCACGACTGACATAACGCATATCGGCACTGCCGTCGTAAAGTATACATTTGGGACTAATGACGTTTTAATGCCCACGGCCTACCCCCCTCATCCTCCGAAGTGTGTATACGGACAACCATCGATGACCAGATAAATTAAAAACAAAAAAAAACAAAAAAATCGGTATGTATACTCGTGGTCTGCCGACACACATACCGCCACTGCACTCGAGGGCGCCGACGACCTCTTCCGCGTAGAAAGTGATAGTAATAGGTTTCGCTCCGCCGACACTCACCGCGGCCCCGCAGCTATTACAGCAGCCCGAGAGCGCACGTGGTCGATAATATTATTATGTTATGCATGCATACCTACATAGGTATTACCCCCCCCCCCACACTAATGGTATACGTATATAATATTATATCACAGCCGGGCACAACATAATCGCGCTCCCAAGATATTACGCTGTCGCGGCTGGCCCAGTTTTTCTTCGACCCCCTTTGAATCCTGCCTTACATCCATACATGTACTTATTTATATACGAATCCTGGTACTTGTATGTACGTATATATACTTTGCACAGCTTTCCAGTGCCGATATGTACCTAATATGTAAGGCGGTTTCTTTATTCAATATTACGTCACTGCAACAAGTAAATATTTCTGTATAAGCTTGCCATTGTCATCGATAGTCGCTTAAATGTTAAATGATTGTGTGCGTATTTCGTATACCATAGTCTCGTCTGACGGTTGAAAAGATGATGGGGAGACGAGAGCGGAATCGGTAAACAGACTCCGCGAGCACGGAGGTTTAGCCACCATCAGCGGAGAGACGATTCGCGCGCAAATGGCACATGTGTTTAAGTAAGTATACTAGAGGTGCGCTTCTCCCCCCCCCCCTCTTTTTTTCTCTCGACGATCGCAACTATAAAATGTTCAACAGGTCTCGCGCGTCCGTCCGCGTAAGAGTATAATGTAAGTAAAGAGCTTCGACACCTTTTGAAAAACACTCGAGCCAGTCGCCTCTGCGATTCACTTTTGTCACCTCTTTCCTCGTTCGATGAATATGCACGTGTTTTTTTTTCTTTTTCTATTTTTTCCACGGCGAATTGTCCGAAGAGCAAATTGCCTTTCGATGATCTACGTTCGAAAGAACGAAAGAACAGCCCCTTTGGCAACGGATTCAAGTTATACATATTATGGTTGAATGGATATTGTGAAAAGCAAACATCAGCCCTGCGATTTCTTTTTTTTTTTTTTTTTTTTTTTTTTTTTTTTTTTTTTTTTTTTTTTTTTTTTTTTTCCTGCCTTTTTGAAATCTCAGCTGCAGTTGTTGCGACACTTCGGGCTAAACTGATAATCTTTTTTACTACATCGACGAATCGAACACGATTAAAAACTCATTTACCACTTGTGTATAACGAGAATCACTAATGTGTTGTTGAAAATACGTCAGCGTATATTATTAGTCCCTCGGAAGTAGAAGGTGACAAAAATCTTATTGATTTGCGTGCCGTAGCGAATGTTGGTCCTTCGACGGTGAAAAGAGCCGAGGACGAGGCGCGCTCCTCAAGGGCGCCCCTCGCAAAAGCCGCCGACCGGCTCGTGAGCCGCAAGGACGCGAATTTCGCGTAACAACGACCATTACTTACTAATTGCTTACTAATTCCCGCCCGTTGGGAAAAGAAGTTTTGTCGTTGTCGTCGTGTGTATATGGTTCAGGGAACGGAAATTAACGCGGTTAGTCGGAAAATACGAGAAACTCGTTTCCCCCCCCCACCGTTTTCATTTGTTTCGTCGGTACGTATACCCAATCGCGTGGTTTATTGTAAAAAATGCAATAACAAGAAACGCGTTTGCTCGCTCGTTTCACCAGCGAAAACAAAAATAACAAAAAATGATCGTAAAATATACTCGCATGCAAATGTGCAGATACGATGCCACAACTCGGGCAACCGGCCGATTTTCAATGCCGATCTTTGGAAGAAAGAAAATTGCACTATATTTACGACGGGTGAGTGTCCAAATTTGCGCCAAATGAAAAATCGGCGCGAGAGACAAAGGAGGTGTACCGAGAGCGAAAGTATGAATACACACAGATATACGCGAAGGAGAAGGAAGAAAAAAAAAAGTCATACCTATGTATACAAAATACGTGGACAGAGAGGTACGGCAAAGCCCGGATGGTTATCGATGCTGTGTCCCGGTGGCACACTTGGAATCAACTGCCCCTCAACCGTACAGCGAGCACTCTTATAATTTCTGGCCCCGGCGCAAGTATACTCTCGAGAGGTATATAGGTAAGCTGTTGCACCGGCCGATCTTTTTACACTCTCCCTCTCGCTTACGCCCGTTTCGTGTTCCCCCCCCCCTCCCTGTCTTTTACAAACGTTATTCGGTACAAAGCCCCTCCTCTTTTTTTTCTTTTTTTTTTCCACCTGCGTCTGCATCGTCTTTGACGCTTTTTTCGTTCGTTATTCCGACTAGGAAGATTTTTTAACAAATACACATGTATATTTTTATACGTATGTAAGTACTTAGCGTCAGATCGTAAAACTGTGCTCTCGTCGAGTCCGAACGAGCAGAACGAGAACCCGAGGCGAGCTTTATCGCACTTTTTTTGCCGATTTAATGGTCCATTGATGCGCGAATCAGTTAATTGCAGCTCGTGGACGTGTTTGTCTTCATTTTTCCGGCGTGCGTTCACCTCTGCGGTTTTGGCTCTGATTTTGTTGGAAACGCGTGAGTCACCGGTGCAAATATAATGAAAAGTTATTGGTATAAATGCAACAATGGGCGTTAAAAAAGAAAAAAAAAAAGATATTGTTTACTCACGGTGATGCCTCGTCCTCTGTACCAAGTTCACACTTTACGGATTTGAATGACAAAACTAACATTCGCAATGTACACCCAACCGAGGGGTAGCCTCTGCCGATTTTTCCGATAGTGAAATCGTCAAATTTATACGTAAATACGTATAGCTAATAGACCCCGAAGAAACAAAAGAAAGAAAGGAGGAGATGATCAGCCCATCGGTGTGTTACGTCCGAGTTTCGTAATACCTAACGCTTAACAATCTGGACAAATTGGAGCGCGAAATAACGAACGGGAAAGCACCAACATACGGTGTTCCCTGAAAATCGACCCGCGATTTTTTTACTCCTATCGGTGCTCCGACTCTCCCCTGACTTTCGGCTTTCCTCGCGCTCAACTTTTTTTACTTTTCTTTTTTATTTAAGTAATAAAAAAAAAATAATAACCACAGCAACATTAGTTCACTCGGTCAGCCTCATGACGTAAGAGTGCCATGAAATAAAAGTAACAGGGAAAAAGTGCGTCAAATTTAAACGCGTAACTGTAAATGCTGCGCGTGTACATGTATATGTGCACGCCAAGGATACTTATAAATTTATCGCCGGTGCCGCTTTCTGTGCGCTCATGAGCTTTCTTCGAGGTGTTGGTGGGCAAAAAAGGTCCCACGCGTCATTTTGACGTGATACGGTCGATAACAGTGTGTTTTAATAAAATCTGGAGAGTTGTAAAACTTCATACCCATACCGATGCTCAGATTACATGGGTAAAGTAGTTAAAGGAGCAATCGTAAAAGTACAATTTTTTTTTTTTTTTTTTTGTACTGAAAGTGCAGGTAACAATTGCAGAGGTTCATAAATTAGTTAGCGCTCGGTTTCTTTAACTTAAATTCAGGCGTGATTCTATAATGAAAAGTCATAATTTATCTGTTTTAAATAACGCATGGAAAAAAATGTATAGTGTAAAAATACGCGGAATTTTGCATTCGTGGTCAACAACCCCGATCGATGAGCTTATTATTCTCAAATTTTTTTTGTTGAACATATAAATGCCATGGTTTATTTAATTATTTTTCGGGAAGCACAAAGGAAAAATTTTGCAACGCGCATTTGTATAGGCACACTGAAAATGAGTAAAAATTGTTTATTCAACACGAGATTTTAATTAAATTGTATTTGGTTAACTGTATTTAACTTTTTTTTTTTTGGTATGATTTTTAACTTGCGAGAAAACACAAGTTATTTGCCTATTAGGTACTTAACTGCCTGTATTTAACTACTCTCTATACACCTATACATATACACTACTCCTTGAAGTAAGTAGTTCGCTGACGTGTCTGGTCAGACAAGCTAAAACCGGTACACGTGCAACCTTATTAATTCTAGATTGATTTATTATAAATACAATTATGTAAGTAATGAATTTTACTTTTAGATCATTACTTTTGAGGCGATGATTCTTCAGAAAATCAGTCGAATATTTAAACAATTACTATTATCTAATACCAAAAAAAATCGATGCAATAAAAAACAAAGGTATTTTAACGCGTTGGAGTTTTTCAAAGATATAGTTGAAGGAATAATGTTTAGAATAACTAATGAGTAAAATTTTTTTTTTTTTAATTAAAAGATTTTTCATTTTCGAAGAGTCATCTTGGATTGGAAATAATTTCATCTTACCTCTGCTACTTTGCTTTCATTACTTAGTACAACCATTAAATTACCCGCATAACACTAGTCATACATCATGAGGCCATCGCCCCGATATTTTTTTTCCAAAACTGATATTATTGGGCAATTATCTCGTCATTCTAATAGAGTACAACTTTACGTATCTCTGCGTTTAAAAATAAAATCAATGCCACATTTAATTATTTAAATTCGAGAAGCCGAAGATTCGTAAGATTCTGTTCTCTGGGTGCAATAGCCCACCGATGGATACACTCGGACGATTACGCCAATAGAATCTTATTAACATTGAACTGTGCTCGCACGCGCCTCTGGTGTTGACTCTATTATGTATACATGTACATAGTCCAAAGACGCGGAATTCGACCTTTACCGGTTTTACTTATTAAGAAACACTTTGCGCACGTCTTTTTTTACTTTCCAAGTGCATCCTTGACGCCATACTCTTCTCTTCTACCATATCGGATAGCTATTTTTTTTTTTATCGCTCAGTTTCTGGAATATTAGCGACGCATCCTCTTTACAGGGAGTCACCATGATTTTTTCGTTATACGTTGAAAAATCGGGTCAACGGGGAGCCTCCGGCTGTTATTGACGCTACTGATTTTGGTTCCTCTTTTGTGTGATGCAATCGTCATCACAAGCAGCTGCTACACTGTTGGGCTTGTGTTAAAGGAAAATAATAATAATCACAACGTAGTTATTCGATCCTTTTGATTACTGATACATGTAGTTTTTAATTTTTAGTCGCACGAGGCACGACAAGTGTCTTGACGTAGAAATGCAAAAAAAAAAAAAAAAAAAAAAAAAATTGATCGACGTACGCGTCGCTCACACTTATCGTTTGTTGTTAGAAAAAAAAAAAAAAAAAGAAGAAAACGGAGGGAAATAAAGAAAACATAGTTCGGGGCTGTGTTACGTGAGGGAAACTGTGTTTTCGTGTGAATCGTAAAACAAAAAGCATCGCGTAAAATATCGCGTTACGCGCACGCGCTAGCTCAATTTTCGATTATTCAATCGGCCAGGACAATTAACGTTAGATTTAACTTGATTTTTTTTTTTTTTTTTTTTTCTTTTTGTAGGTACCGCGCAAATTTTTTTTTCTTTTGTCCTAAAAAAGGATATACTGAGGATCACGGAATCGGGAAAATGAATGGAAGATCGATCGTTTTTCTTTCTTGAAAAAGTAAACTCTTTATTAATATATACATTGTACTCAATAGTTTTCTCAAAATTACAGCCTATACTTACAGTTTATTATAATATGTAGAAAATCACAAAACACGATTTGGCGTCCACGCGTGTAAAAAGCTACGCATTCTTAATTATCTTTTTTACGAGGGACGGGCGCAAATCTAGTGATGCGTGCGAGGGGTACGGAGGTAATAAAGCAACATAATGTATAATAGGCACCCGTACTTTCTTACGCAGACTTTTTGCATAACGCCAATAACACCGCAGGTAACAGCGACGCAACGGCTTTCCTTCCCTTCCTTGATGACAAACGATAGCAAGTATACTGACGAGTAATCTACTACAACTTGAGTATAATATGTTCTCATCCTCTTTACCGTCGATACAAACATTCTTATTTTCTCGTGCTTAATCAAAGAAGAAGAAGAAGGAAAAAACGGAAAGCAATAGGAATATTCGCGCTCGCATATTTCGTAATATCAATATTATATCTGCGCCGCCAAAACAACCGTAACTCTAGGCGGTGGGGTGTACTTATGTATACAAGATGCATGTGGTGCATCGCGCATCGGCCGGTGCTTTCACCCGGCTCGTCCATTACGCTCGGGGTAATTACATTTTGACGGAAAAACACGTACGTGCCTATACGTCTAGTTTTCTCGAGTACCGGGAAATCGACAATGCTCTTTTTAACGTTATACGCGTGTGTGTGTTTTACGTTATCATCGAAAAATATCGCTGCGTATAATCATTTTTCAAACCATACCGACGATTCAAGCGTATTTGCCTATACGCGAAATGTTGAACGTTTGTCGCGCAGTACATTCATCAAACCAGTTCCTTCTAGCGCGAAAAAATAACAATTATCATACAAATGCACTGACTTGGCCGAGATTAATATTTGTCAGAGTGCTCGTGTCTCCTGGTTCTCGTTACTTACAATGTATATCGACGTTTTTTATTGGCATTTTCGCGAGTCTCGTCTTCCCGGTGATTTTCTACGGTTTGACGAGAAAAGCATTTTACACGCGCACATACTTTTTTTCTATTAATAAAGGGAAATGTTTCGACACGTTTGGTTGGGCATTTCTTGTTTCTTTTATTTTTAATGGCACCAACTTGTATCACAATTTTTTTTTAGTTAATATAAAAAATTGGTTTTTCATGCCCAACCAACTTTTCACTCGTCGGATGATTTTCTAATGTTTTTTTCTGAGACTTGTATTTTGGCGTAAGCTCCCTTGCAGCCACTATCTGCCTTTTTTAAATCTATTTTTATATTTTCCAAGTCTTCCTCCGAAAGTTCTACACCGACATAGTCTGACAAATCTTTTATACACTTGGTCAAGGCTTCATCGCTCAGAGGTGCATAATTAACTATCGTTGCTTCTACTTGAGCTTCCTGGAATTTCTTTTCGATCAATGACATGGATTCATTTATGTGTAGGACTCTTTGTAAATTGTTGTCGACTTCTTCTGGGTTAAAAATTGCTAAAATAAGGACACAGTAGTTTTTAGATTTTTCTTTCAAAATACTAGCAAATCTAACAGTTTCCTCCAAGTCGTCGGTTTTTAAATTTTCCAATCTTATCAAATTGCACTTGCATATGGATAATGATAAGTAAGCTTGTTTATCCTTGGTATATAAAGGTGGAAAGAAATCAAGAACTTTGCTGGTCTCCTTCAAATTGCTTCTAATAATTTCAGAAGAGTGAGATTTTCCCACCCCGATTCCACCAACTAGCACTAGAGTATTGAAACTTGCTTTTTTATCTAATTCACTGAAAAACTTGGAAAGTTCATTGACTGCAGCATTTTGCCCATGAACGAGTTTGGACAGTTCTTCAGATAAATTGTTGATTTGGAAATGAGGATCGCATAATTTATTGAAGAAATCGGTGTCATTAAGAAAAATTGCCAAGTAAAGAACAGCTAACGAAAGCAGAACTATAAAAACAACTGCCCAATATTTACAAAACCTTTTTTGTTTTCCTGATTTAATTTCGGTAGGTGCCACAAGCGACCTCAGTCTCTGGTTTAATTTTTTCACGTCATATTTTTTACTTTCCTCACTTTCAAAATTATCTCTCTTGGTAAAGTTGAAATTTTTGTTACTTGAATTGTACCTCTCAACTTTTTGGTCTTTCATGACGAAACGCTCTTCTTTTAAAATAGCAGACGTTTTACTTGAATTTGAATTTTTTTTTAAATTAACAAAATTGCCACATGGTCCATGCCATAATGCAAGCGATAAAGAACTTAAACCAAAATTGTTTTTACTATTTTGGCTATTGGAAAAGGATTTTTCAAATTCAGTATCATTAACGATTAACTTTGGTGGTGCCAAAATCCTTTTGGAAGTGCTGTTACCTACACCTGAGAAACTGTGATGTTCAGTCGGAAATGATACATTATTTGGTAAACGAGAAAAGTTAGTTTCTTTTGACCAGATAGAAGATTTTGGATTGTATGCAGGCACTTCTTTTTTCCAAATATTTGCACTCTCCTGACTATAAACAATTGGTTGTGATTGTGTGTCTCTTTGAGGACTGCAATATACAGAGAAAATGTTGAATTAACATCTAGTATAATAGATGAAAAGATGTAAAAAAGTACAAATATACCATTCATTGATATCGCAAATAGCTTCGCAGCTGTACTGTTTGACAAGATTGTTTGATGTCTGTGAATGATAGCGTTCTTGAAACGTAACTTTTTCCATTGTCGAGAAGTCCGAAAAGCTAGAAGCCCTTATGAGCTTAGGATCTGGTGCTGTGAGATTGGTAAATAAAAGATGACGTCTGTCCATTACATGTAGAGAAAAATGGATTTTTCCCGTTCTTTTAAATCGTGGAGAAGGTTGGAAACATAACCTCTACGCTCCACACACACTTGAGTCCTCAATTCTATTTGATTGAATGAAAAAATTAAGATACTAATAACTGTTTTACATTAAGATAAATGATGGGACCCTTTTAATACTGGTAAAAAACATACACGCATAAATATTGTACGACGACTGCATCTACTCTTAGTTTTCAAAAATCACAACATAACAATGACCTCTTCATCACAGATAAACATCAATACTTAACTTTTTTATATGACAAAGCACTAAATAATACACTGCGAAATTTTATCACGTTGTTTCAATACACTCCCTCTTGCAATAAAAATATAAACACTCCATACCTTTAGGAGTTTCGCGTTGCCGCGAAAAAAGGAAAGTGCGTGTGTGTGATTTTGTTCTACATTTTAAAGCTTAGCGGAATAGGGTAGTTTAAATAAGTTAGAAAGATGAATAATTTTTTATGTATTTAAAAACATCGTTAGCAATAGCTTTTGAATAAAACCAATGGTATATATGAATATAAAAAAAAAGTTTACTGCAATAGTGAAGGTCATTGCGTGTTTTCAAAATAAAATTAATATTATTTTTAATACAAATGAATATTGTAAAAATCATTATTTGGGTTTTGGTATCACTATAATAATATAATCACATTTACTTTTAATTAATCAAAACTTTTAGAAAAATCTTTACCAGATAAGTTATTAAATAATACTCTTTTTTCATATACACGTAATACTTGACAACTGGCGAAAAAAGACGTGATTAGCATAAAAAATTCGAATTGTTTATACTTATTAAAACCAATCGCTGTGGTGTGACACGCAACGCAACGGTTGCATGAAAATAAACCTTTACGTTCGCGTACGCTTTTGCAGTGGTAGAGAGGAAGACGGAAGACACACTTGCTTTTTTGCTTGCATTTTTTGATCATTTCACATCAGCGATATCGCGGTGCTTACCTACATCAAAACATTGTCTTCTCTCGTCATATGTTCACATGTAATAATAGCTAAAAAAGGAGTAAGTGTGCCCAAGTAGATTTAATTACAATGAAACCTACGTCTATTCCAGTCGCCTGGGCGATAAAATTACTCTATCGATATATGTGACTTATACATAAACGTTATAGTTAAAATGTTCATAATTAATTGTGTGTGACAGTCAATAAGTTGGACGCCTTCATTGAACGAGGGTGGAGGAAAAGGTCCTTGACATTTGGATACGTGCTCGAACATCATCTTCGAGGATACGTCAAACTTTCAGCGTGAGATGTGTACAAGCACTGCCTGCCTTTGTGTTAGCACAACACATTGAGAGAAAAAAACTAGGAGAAAATGCTGTTTAAGTGTGTACCCGGCCTCTTGGCCGTTCTGCTCCTCCTCGTCGGGTTTATATCCGCGAGGATTCATAAGTTTAATATTAAAGTAAGTCAATTCTCACGAGGTATTATCACTTATTTAATATTTTGCTCATGAAGCTCATTCGAGTCAACTATAACAGGCTTAAGTATTAAGTCTGGTAATGAGGACAATGTCTTGAAACTCGATGTATATTTTGTTAACAGAAAGACAGCAGGCGATTCATATCTTTGAGCACCTTTGGATTCTACAAAGATGGAATATTGGATGTTAGCTTGATTAATTTTAAGGCTGTGCCGTTCAAAGAGTCTGCTGTGGTGAGCTCACTACATCTATTGTCAATATTTATTTGTTATTTATTAGCGACAATCGCGCAAAAAATTGGTTCATATATTTTTTTTTTATAGTTTGGCTTCACCCTGGATCGTACTCTGAGTGATGCTATGAATCCTTATCTGGACAGTCATGATAAATGTGTACTTCAAGGTGCTACAAGTACGAAATCTGATTACGAGCAAAGGGATGAAACAGCTGTCATATACTTTACCTTTGACTTAAAGGAGACGCGGTAAGTTGTCTGCTATGCTTATCTGTGATGTTTTGGAACATTCTATTTTCTCATGTTGGAATGATGAAAACACATGTATGATCTTAGGTTGATGGTCAACTGCAGTAGCAATGTGCACTCGTTACATATTTATCAAAATTCAAGTGCAATATGGTTAGCTCGAAACAAGAGGGGTTCAATGAAGAGTTTGAGTGACACTGCTCTATTTCCTAGAAAAAAGAGAGATAGTTCTCCTCATGGTAAGTTATTTATAACTTTGTATGGAATATCTATTGTTTGGCGTGTCTTGGTCCACAAATTTTATGTAAGGATAGTCGAATTTCATGAACTACTTACTACTAGCAAGATATGTAGGAAAAACGATAATATTGCTATATAAGCTTATAAGATATTGATTTTAAAAGTGCGTTAATTAAATGGTTGATACTTGTTGATTAAATTAATGAGGTGTGATACTTTAATGTTAATTTTTTTTTTACCAAACCTTTTTTCACGGAAAAATTGGAAAATTATAATTAAAATTAGAGCAGAGTGGTTAAAGTGTATTGTCAATTGATTATTTTAAAACTTATGTAGAGCTGAGACAATCCAACAATACGAAATCAAATGGTGCTGCTGTAGAAAGTACCTCGTGCTCAAAAACGTTGCCAATGTCTGTTCACGAAGTCAATAACGAAAAACTGTATAACACAAGTTTTGCTATGTACGTTGCTAATGAAGATCAAGAAGGCCTGTACAATTTATATTTTCACAATTGCCCCAACTATGGACCTTACAGAACGGAAGTTGATTTTTCGGTAAATTAATTTAAAAAAAAATTTTTTATTTACCTTTGCTATTTCTTACGGTGTAGTTTTAAAACTTGAATATACTTTATTTCAGATGGAAATAAAAGAAATGAATGATAACAATTTTTTGAGTGCTGGCGAAATGCCATTGCCAGAATTGTACTTCATGATGGCTGTTTTATTCTTTCTTTCGGGTTGTTTTTGGGTTTATATTCTCAAGCACAGCAAGTATGTTTGAAAACCAAGTACTTGTATCAAATTTTTTGTACACAACCACTAATAAATTTATCAATTTTCACAGGCACCCGGTTTTTAAACTTCACTATCTCATGGCTGTTCTCGTTTACCTGAAATCATTATCTCTGTTATTCCATGGAATTAATTTTCATTTTATTCAAACAAAAGGTGAACATGTTGCAGCATGGGCTGTACTGTATTACATCACTCACTTGTTGAAAGGAGCTGTGCTGTTTATTACTATTGTTCTCATTGGCACTGGGTGGACTTTCATCAAGCATATTTTGGCCGACAAAGATAAAAAATTATTCATGATTGTTATTCCACTTCAGGTGAAATTTGGAGAAAAAGACATGAACAAAACTTTGTAGGTATAATTAGTTACATTGATAATTTTGGCATTTCAGGTTTTAGCAAATGTTGCAGAAATTATTATTGAAGAGAGCGAAGAAGGTGATATCGAACACAACACGTGGCGATACGTGTTTATCCTGGTCGACTTACTTTGCTGTGGTGCCATTATGTTCCCAGTTGTCTGGAGCATAAGGCATTTACAAGAAGCAGCTCACATGGACGGCAAAGCTGCTGCTAATTTGCGCAAACTCAAACTGTTTAGACACTTTTATATAATGATAGTGTGCTATATTTATTTTACTCGAGTGATAGTATTCTTGTTAACGGTAAGTTGACATTTTTAGTGTTGAAATTAAAAAAAAATTATTTCATTTCATACAGTGCATCCAATAAAAACGTTTTGACAGATTGCTGTACCTTTCCAATACCAGTGGCTAGACGAAATGTTCCGTGAAATGACTAATTACGTATTTTTCGTATTAACTGGTTACAAGTTTCGACCAGCATCCGCAAATCCTTACTTTACTCTATCTCCTGAAGAGCTGGCTCAAGAGGACGATGATGATGAGACAGATATTGTGTATGTTAAACATTAGTTTGGTCAACTCTTTTGACAGCGCGTTCTTAATTTTAATAAAACTACCACAGTTTATTTTCTAGCGTTTCCGGTGGCAGTGCAATGGCTGAGGGTCTCAGCAAAGTGAACAAAGTTATTAAAGTCAACAGGTCGAATATTTCCGAGGTGCCGTCGACGCAAGAGGAACGAGATACCCTAATCAGCAAAAGGGAATCCTTGCTCGAGTACGACTGAACGTTCTTTACTACCAAACTTATGATATTTATTCATCATATGGTCACTTTTTTTCCATAAGGAACAATTAGAGAAAAAAAAAAAAAAAAAAAAATGATGGGTGTGAAGAATGAGCAGTGTTATCTCGGCATTTTCATCGTAAAGCGCTTGATATGCGAGCAGTGGCCGTGACGTGAGGGAATAAGATTTTTCATGCATGTTTTCTTTCTTTTTATTTTTTCTCTTTTATTCGGCGTGTCTTATGTTTTTCCAAACATATGGAATAAAAATCTTATGCATACTTCATGTTACGCTAGAGTGAAAAGTACTTCTTTATACAGACTGAGAAATTTCCTAAGCTTAAAAATTTGCATCTCCTCGGAGCGTTCCATCAAAACAATATCTAGATTTCTTATTGTTTTAAGGATGCATTTATTTACTTGTAATAGGTTTAGTTTAAAATAAGATACTAATATGTTCCTAAATTAAAGATTTTATAAATCTCATATCATATAATACCACAAACTCCTTTAAGGATCGTTGTAATGATATTATAGAAAAAAAACTTTTGCTACTTCAAATCAGATACAAAATTGAACGAGAGAAAAATATTTTATCTATTTTTGCATAAATGAATGAAACTATTATTCACATTCCATTTTTATAATCCAAAAACTTATTAATGATTGAACCTTTGTCCTCATAGCTTGATGATAAATTTTTTCCATGTATTTTTCTATTTTTACTTTTACAAATAGCCATCCATCGAAAGGAAACGTCTCTCAAATGAATCACCTAATAAAATTCTTATCACATTAAGTTGATAAAAGCAATTATTTTCTATTTTAAAGTTTTTTAAAATTTGAACCTGTTGACTTAAAGTTTTTGCATAAAATAAATAATTTTATTTTTCATATTATTAAAAATAACACTCTATGTTAATTGTATAATATTTTGCTGTATATAGGTGGTCGTGCGTTAAATGATAATTGCTTGTGTGTTATGTTGATATTACTGACTTTAGTAAATTAAAAAAAAAAACTTGTACATGTGTAATAATATTTAACTAGCTTTGTCAAAAAAAAAAAAAAAAAAAAATGACCAAATGAAATATGTATATTTATGTTGAAAAATAACAACGTTTCATTAAATAATTATCAACGTAATTCTATGTTAAAACGGTATAAAACATGTTTTTAATAATCAAACGTGTTAAAAAAAAAAGTTTTTTTTCTTTTGCATGAACATTTTAATATTTTATTGTCCATAACGAACTTTTCATAAATTAATTTGTATTAACTAATGCATATACCTAAAGTAAGTACTTATGTGATAGAAAAGAATAACAAACTTTGTTATATACACACATGCATAAACGTATACGTAGTTTGTATATACTTACGTAATTTGTTTCGATCAAGTTGAATAAAATTTGTAAAAAAAAAAAACAAAAAAAAAACCTGCTGTACTTTTTTCGTCTATACCAGGAAAAAGAGTGCCTATTTTTCGAAACAGTGAATTGCGTTTCTTAATGAACATGGGTCGACAATCCGGGAAATCGATAATTTTACCGTATATGTCTGTTGGGACCCGCATTTTCGGTACAGCAAACAACAGTTTCGAGAGAATCGCCAAAGAATACATATATAGTCCTTTTTACGGTTGGAGACTAGTTAGTTGGCTTTTGTTGATTAACACGTGAAACTTCCTCCACGCACGAAATGAAAATCACCCGAGCGATTTATTTCACACATTTACAATCGTGAAAGTAAAAATTGTCGGTTGAGCGTCAAAGGTAAAAATATATATATATATATATATATAGAGAGAGAGAGATATGAACGATTCCGAAGAATCGGCGAACAAGTCGGCCTACTGGCAAGACTTTTGCGTCCCGCGGAGCGAAATTCGGAGGTACGAAGATCCACGGATCCCCGACTTGAGGAATGTAACTTACGGCATTGTCATACCGGTCATATGTTTTTTCGGCATCTTCGGCAACGTACTCAACTTGATTGTCCTCACGAGGCGCAACATGCAGGGAACGGCTTACATTTACATGAGAGGTGAGTTGATTTTGACATGTTTTTTCATTTTTTTTTTTTTTTTGGTAATTGTAACAAAGAGACTCGATGGGATGTGTGATCGTTCGAGAATAAGGCATTATTGCCAACAGGTCTAAACCTGTAAAAATACACGATTATTCCTTGTTCCTTCGTTTCTATGTATAAATGCAGAAATAGTTCCTCCCTGTCCCGAACTTGGCTTACCGCACAGCCACCTGATCTACTTACTTGATCTTGCGCCTATATAGTCTCTAACATACATGAACATAATTTTTTTTTTTCCATCAGGTTTTCCATTGAACCTTTTTGATTTGTCGCGCATTAGCGTCACCCCACGTATACCTACGCAGGTGTAACGATAGCGCTGCATGTCAATCATGCATTACCGAGCTCGGTATATCGTATCTGATCGTTTCGGTGATTTTTCAAAGTATATGCTTTGTACTGAAATTCATCGATCAAACTCGTTTTTTTTTTTTTAAGGTGTAATAGGTATACTTGACAACAAACACCGTTAAAAGTTGAAAAATCCCCAGATGCCCAACGCTGTCTGATATTCGTACAGTGGAGAAAAAATAAAATAAAATAAAAAACTCCCGACATTTCTCATGAAATATTGACCGGCGTGCAATTTTGTCCACCTCCCGTGGACTGTAGTGTCCCAAAATGTTTTATTAACGTACGTATATGCGCACACGCGCGAACCCGTCAACAAGCTGGAGTTTTAAAGGGGGTTGCGAAACGCAAGAAAAAATTCGACCACCTTGACACTCTGTACACATGTATCGAGTGAGTGAAAGGAATGAATAAATGAAGGAAATTAAGGGGAAAGAAATCAACTCGGAAAACACGCAGATTGGAAAATCACACGCGTACCCGTCGTGTTCCCCTTTTTATACTCGTATATCCAAATGACTCAATATTTCTTGAATATCCCCGAGTCCCATTGTTGTTTTGTGCGCGTGTAATTTCCATGTTACCCTGTAAAATGTAACATCACTGGTATGGTTAAAATATTGTCCGCATCGGTATGCGCTGTATAAGTATACAAATTGCATATGTATCACCGATTATATCGATTTAGGCGCCTACAAGTGCTCGCGAGGGGTGGGAAATTGAATAATTGAACAAAGTATGGTACACACGCGCAGGACGTGTTATCGGAAAGTGCGAATTAAGGGAGATCGATGATACACACGAACGAATTTATCGAAAACCGATCTCCCCTCCCCCACCCCCTGCAGCGCACAAAACGGTACGTTTTTATATACATCTCGCACACATTCGCTTGCATGAACAAACTCTCGAGCCCCTTCGTGCGTGGGAACTTCCGACTTAAGTTTGTCGTATAGTTAAGCGAGAGATGACTATTTCGAGCTGATGGGCCAACAGTTGTAACTATCCCCAACATGATTCTCTTGCAGTATATACTGCAACGGTGAATTGGATTTCTTTTGTATACATGTTATATTTCAAGGGTTTTAAAAATGAATCTTCTTATATACACGAGACGAGGTGGCCTTTTGCGTCTCTTTTCATCTTCTTACGCGGTGCGGAGTAAGTGCCGATTAACATGCACGTATAAGTATCAACTGAATTTAATCGTATTCAATTTTTGAAGCTTTACGCAGTACCGATACGGTAGATTCTGTATTTGTTGGAGTAATATGTTTTGATTAAATTTTCTACGTAACTTGGATGTTGCGTTTTTCGAATGGAATGCATTAAACGACGAGACACTGTTGTTCGTTGGCCATGTAATTTGAATTTTTCAACCTCATACTTTAAACGATTGACATTTTTCATCTCAGCCCTTTCTTTATTCGGTGAATTTTTGTTCCCGCCCCTCCAAAATTGTAAACAATTTTTCGATAATTGACATACTTTTGAAGGTGTACGTATATGAGTTACGCAAAATTGCAGTTGAGTACAAAACGATTTAATTTAAAAAAATAATGCCACTCGACTACTGCCTTGTAGGGGCAGTGGAGGGAAGGAAGGAATTTGTTTTTTCCACTATGGTAAAACCTCGTTCGGTAGATACGTATTTGTAAATAATTTATTCATGCGAAAAATACAAACGCACCGCTCGCGTACCGCGTACATTCACGAGAGATTCATTGATTTTTCACTTGGATATAATTGTACTGTACGCCTCGGTGATCATCGAGCTGATTCATTTTTCCACCGTTTACAAAGTGGCTACCATTGGTAAAACGATTCATACCCGCAACATATTTATATGGGAAAAAAAAAAAAAAAAAAAACCGAAAATGATCGTGTTTGTCCATTGCAGGATACTCAACGGCCTCGCTGCTCGCCCTGGCCATCTGCATCTCGTTCACGCTGCGCGTCCTCACCCACAGGGATAACCTCGGCTGGTCCAGCTGGCTGCAGGCCTTTTACCACGTGCACCTCGAGCTCTACCTCGGCAACAGCTGTCTCGGTCAGTCTTACCCATACATATACCCCTGAAAAACGGTCGAGCCTTCCCAGGGCCCGATAACTGCGCTCTGCACACGCTAAAAATGAAGATTGTCCTTTTTTCCCTCCCCCCCCCCTCTGTTTTTATTTCCACGTTCCAAATAACTGCACGAAAAGTCCGTAAGAAAGTTTAACCGTGGCTCGATTTCTTTATTGAAAACTTTTGCGAAGAGCCAGGCGTAATGGCAACTTTATACGGTACACAGGAAAAAAAAAAAAAAAAAAAAAAGAAAAAGAAAAAGTCACGTACAACGACGAGGAAAATGGAAAAAAAAAAAGGAGCTTCGACAATGCAAAGTTTCCGACGCGCCGCGCTTATCGAGCACAGAGAGTTATGCGGAAGAAGCACGGAGGACAAGGAGAGAAAAAAAACGCGCGGCTGGTTCGTTTTATTCCATTCCTAAAGCGCGAGTCGCGAAAACAATGGGAGGGTAAAAAAACTGGACGTGGGTATATAGGTGGTATTAGCCCCGGAGTTGAATTTTCTTAAAAATAAAGCGTACTCGCAAAAGCGCAGGGGTATTCAACGAGTCGAGAAAAAGCCAGTGCAAGTATATATAGTGTAGCAAGTGCGGGGGTTTTTGCAGGCGTGAGCGTGATGATGCTGTCGGCGCTGACGCTCGAGAGACACGCGAGCGTCTGCCAGCCCCGGAAACACCGCCGGCCCGTCTGCGGTCCGCCACGTTGGACCGTCCTCGTCCTGCCGTTGGCGACTTTCCTCCTGTACGTGCCCTACGCCTTCAAGGCCAAAATCCAGAGGTGTCTCCTCGCGAAGGCCGTACTCTACCGCAGACGGGAGAACTCGGACCTGCTGCGCTCGCTGGTTTACAAGGTAAAGGTGTTTTATTAAATATACATATATATTCCCTTTGCATCGGTCAGAGGAAGCGCCAATTCACGTTCGAATCCGTTACTTTTTACGTCTCTGTCATTGAGCATGAAAAATCTCATTGGTCAGTGGTTTGCAGTACCCTGCACATGTGATTTTTTCCGGTAACAGGTGTACAGGGTGCTGCTGGAGACGGGGTTCAAGGTGGGCCCAACCGTGCTACTGGCCGTGCTGAACTTGCGGATCGTGCTGGCGTACAGGCGCACGTGCGAGCGCCGCCGACGATTGACGCGTCGCAGCGCGAGGGACGCCAGAAGCGTGTCCGAGGAGCGTAGGCTCGTCATGCTGCTCGGCAGCACCAGCTTGCTCTTCCTCGTCTGCGTCAGTCCCATGGTCATCCTCGACCTCACCCTCAACGAGGCCAACCTCAGCATCTTCTCCTACCAGGTATATGGGTTCATTCTTTATTATTTTTTTTTTTTTATTCGCATCCTTACACGTATCATGTCTCCTTCTAGGTGTTTCGCGCCACGGCCAACCTGCTGGAGGTGGTCAACTACTCGCTGACCTTTTACATCTACTGCCTCTTCTCCGAGGACTTTCGGGCCACCCTGCTGCGGACGTTCAAGTGGCCCGACAGGAGCCTAGGCTCGGGGAGCAATAGCCCGAGCCCCGAGTACATCGCCAACACGCCCCCTCCGCTCTCGCCGCGCCGCGGCTAAATTGGGGCTTTTTTTTTCCGTTATTCTCTCGAGAGCCGGATAAACATCTCAAGTTCAGGGGGGGACATCCGTAACGATTTGCTTGCGTGCGCTCACAGGGAGTTCTTCGTTTTAATTTGTTTGCCGAGCGTAAATAGTCATTATACGGCGCGTAACGTGGATTTATGTGTATACATATATGTATACCCTCGTCCTCGTTTGCTCGAGTTGACGTTGGGTTGTTGTTGCTTACCCCGTGTGTAAAACCCATTATGATCGCAATGTGTGTAATATTTAGATCGATTCTGTGACTTTTTTTTTTTTATTTGTGAGTAGAAGTAAAAAAGAAAAACGCCTTATGCGTCGTCTCGCGCGTGTGCGAGATATGATTTTGAAAAGTGTCAGAGATCGTTAACGCGGGCCGTGCGTGTACATTTTTGGAGTGGGTACTACGAGAGGAAAAATAAAAAAATAAATAAATAAATAAATAAATCACAGCGACAATGCTGCTATACCCTCGATATTACCTTCCTTTCCCCCATTTCCGTCTTAAAAAACAAACTTTAGGGGGGCTTAGACTCCCTTTGGCTACCGGTCGCGGGCATTGGCCCGGTAAATTAGAGGAAAAAGAAATTTTCGCGCACACGAACGCGTACCTTTATATTTTTTCTTTCTCTTTTGGCCCGACCCACTTTTTATGCTACCGAGAGAAATTTTCTTCCCCCCGTCGACGAGAGTACATAGCTGCAACCGAACTTTTCCTCCTCCCCATTCTCTCCGAGTGTTTTCCGAAGAAACAAAGTTCACCCGTGCGGTCCTTTCCTCGATTACCTCCACCAAGGGATTCGAGCGTCTTTTCTCTCTCTGCTATTCTTCTATCGATCGTTCGCTCCGTCTCGCGCGCGCGTGTGTGTGTACCCGGCTGGTCTCTTATTCTTCCTGGCAACGTATTGGCATCAAGTGTTGATAGGGCACGTTTTCTCCCTCGCTTCGGTCGATTCTCCTCTTCGGTGTCTTTTGCGAAAATAAACGTCCCGTGAGCCAAGGTGCACTGCCTTTTATTGCCCCTTAAAATAGAGAAGCCCGCAAGGGGGGCTGCTTTCGAGTCTCTCTTTTCTCTTCCTTCCTCGGGCACTAAATGCGGTTTCATGGCTCCGCCGGTGGATGCTTCAGAGACAACTACCCGTTTTTTTTTTTTTTTTTTTTTCAGATTTATCGGAGCTCTCGCGTCCGACCACACGCCGACCGTATCTACTAAAATATATCAATTGCGCGCGATCACCGCGAAATTGTACGACTCTTCTCCCGTAAAAAAAAAAAAAAGTATAACCACGTTTCCCGTACATAAGTAGGATCAACTGTAGGTGGTGTTGAGAAAGCGCGAGAGTATATATATGGTCGACGAGGCACGACCTCGTTCATCCAACTTATGGCTGGTTCTCTCCCCGGTTATACGTATATACACGCACACAGACACGCGAGTGCCGTGTTGTACCCATCATACCTCGGTCCGTGTATAACAGACGTACGGGAGAGAGAGAGAGCAAGGGGGATGACAGCGACTATCGATCAACATTATGTGCCGTATATATACTGTGTCTCGCACATATTGGGGTCCGGGACCTTCGCCTCGATTTTAGCGCTCGAGTGGCGAGATAACGCGTATCTCTCCTCTTTACCCCACTCTATACGCTTATCTTTCTCTCCTCCCCCACGCGGTTGTGCGAGTCGTTGCAGGTGATGCACGGCTCCCGCCCCCGTCGACCTTTCCATTATTTAGCCGCGCGAGTGGTGCTCTCGAAATCAACGGACGCGTGTGTATGTGTATATTGTTTTTTTTTTTTTTTTTTTTTTTTTTTTTTTTTTTTTTTTTTTTTTTTTTTTTTTTTTTTTTTTTNCCCCCCCCCCCCCCAATACCCTCGATTCCGCTCGCCCGAGCGGAGCATCATCGGCATATTATCCACAGCGTGCACCCTCGCGTATACACCGGCTCCTCGGTTCCGTAGATTTTCTCTGGACTCGGGAGATGCGTTTTGGCCCAGGTGCATACTATTCCCCGGGGAGATTGGAACTCGTCTCTCGATTGATTTTTCTCTCCTCCCGCGGGAGGGATTCCGAGGATTACGGTATATAACGGGCGTGGGGTTGGAGCGCGGAATTAAAAGTCCTCGGGATCGCCCCGCATACGCGATTATAAATTCTCGTCTGATCGAAAAAGTATATAATATACGAACGATTCCTCTCTATTCCATTTTATGTCGCTTTGGATTCAAGAAATAACGGGTGTGGATAAGTAAATCACTTCGGTGGATCAGCGCGTGAGTTACGGCACATTGGGGTAGTTGCACGAAGAAATAACGTGTGGAGCTGGATCGATCGGTTCGCTGGTACGGTGCGTGATGGTCTATACACGAGGGCGGACAGGCGTCAAGCGTCTCGTTGGATTATCCGATAGGCGAGCGAGCGTTTCAAAGAATTTTTGGAAAAGGGCTCGTTGAGTTGGGGCTTTCTGCTCAAAAAAATTTCAGTTGTTCCTCCGAAAGGTTTTCCCTTGGAGATTGATGCAACGTGTTGTTTTTTTTTTCCTTCGAATTTTTTTAAGCGGAATTTTTCGTGATATGCAGTGCCACACCGGTACGAGTATACGTGGGGATTAAAATTTTCCCCGATACGCTGCCAGAAGTGCTGGTTAAGTGCTGATGTTTTCTCTTCGTCTTTTTTCCCTTTTATCGGGTACGCCGCAACGGGCGTGTGTTTTTCCCCTCGTACCCGCTACACCGAGTGCACGCTCGCTCGGCGGAATTTTCATCGGCCACAAAATACTGCACTGATTATCGCTTATACACATATGCTATATACCTCCCGTCAAGAGCCCAGATTTTCTCTCTCTTTTTCTTTTGTTTTTCACTAATGGACGCGTGCAATCCACCGAAACAAGGGCGCCTGGCAATATCCTGTTTGCAGCTGAAAAAAAAAAAAAAAATCCTCGGTGGTATTATTTCAATCGAAAAGTATATAGGGAATGTAAACAATTTAAATCAAACGGCGATTCCGTTATTTATCGGCGAGCGAGAAGATTGTGCTAAAATCGTTAGTGAAAACAATCGCCGACGCGCGACAAAATCAATGGACGTATACGAGGTACAAGCACCGCGGAACTAGTATAAACAACCAAAACGTTGACCTAATAGGATTACGATTTCAAAGTGTGTACACCGTGGGTACGGAGAAATAACTATATACCCATTACGTGTGTATACATCGTATAGGTAAATAACATATATATGTGGCGAAAGCTAGAGGTAGGGGTGTGTATATGTGTATATACCTAATGCTGTGTCAATATTTCTTTCCTCCGGTGCCGTTCGTATACGCGCGCGTAAAAAAAGGCGCGGCAGCAAGCACGCCTGTATCTGTACGTAAACACATATGTGCCGGGAAATCGGAGAAGCGATCGGATCTGCGTGCACACGCTCCTTGAATACTTAAATTTGTCCGCGCATACATACATACATACATATATATCGGAAGGGGGGGGGGTACCGAAAAAGAGCACTTGCCTCCACTTGATACTTAATTCAGTCGAGATTTTATTCTCGTCCCCGTGAAGCCTCGCTACAGTTGTACTACTTTATTTGTCCGTTGGATGACGCGGGATCGATCAACACGACAACGAAGCTAAGCCAGCCGTCAGTGTAGGTAACTGTGTAATATGCTATGGGGCGGCTTATGCGTCCGCGTTTGCTGCAGTAGAGTAGGTCCGAGTTCAGTCGGACAAAGGAAAAATCGAAGCGTCGCTCGATCGTCGTGCTCGTTTTACGTGCAATATATATATATGCCGTGTACGCACGCTGTCAAACGAACATACATGTACAGGAAGGAAACGCTGTATGGCTATCATAAGTGCACTCCACCAGCGGCACAATTTTCACGCGGCGTAGCCACGTCTGAGCTAACGCTGACCTTAACTACTTGCGGCCGCGTACCCCATTCTTCCGTGCTCTCATGGACATCGGAGCACGCGTGAAGTTTTGCGTTGATGCAAATTATATACACGAGCGAGCGGCAGATACCTGTTTTTGACCTTATTTATCCACGTTGCGCCGAGGATAAGGGTAAAGTTCCTTCGGTATATAGTCGTGAATAAAGGGTATTCAAAATGAGTAAGGAAGTTTTTTTTTTTTTTCACGCGAATCAACCAAGCGATCCAACCCGTAAACCGAAAACAAGGGTTAATCGGGACAAATAAAGCTCCCTCGAGTCCCTAATGGACAAATCACGACAAGCCAAGCCGTCACCCAAATGCCCCGTAGGACAGTTGGCGCTCAATCTCTTTCGATCAGAGAGGGCCTATATAATAAAATGCTATGCACGGAATGTCGGGGAGCATGTATATATAGGTGAAGGGTAGATTGTAAGTTGAATTACCATTACCACTACTGACCGCGATGCGTGAAGGAGGGCCGCGTCTGCGCATCATCCAAGGGGGTTGGCGGCTAACGTGTGTGCAGCTGGGGGTGGTGGTGGTGGTTCTTGAGGCCCGGCGATCGCTCGCGCGCCAGTCCGACGCCCAGTACCGCGGCGCTATGACGTCAACGAGTCACGCTCGGACGTGAGCCACTGCGTGTACAAGCAGCGATTCGTCGTGTTCGATGTGTTTTCAGGCCGCTGACATACTGATTTATGAATGAATAGCCGAACCGTGCACTCGTCGCTGCGTTGGTCGAGGTGAAAGCTAACTGTGTCGTGATGTGCCGCGAGTGAAAAAAAAAAACACGATATCGAGCAGTGAACCTTTACACGTATATTTTCCATCTGATGTTGTGACCGCCTTAACCCGCATGTGAAAGGTATCTGTTTCCACTCATTGTAGAATCGTGCGATGATATATTACATAGGCTGGTCTTTTTTTATTTTATCTTTTGGTTTCTCATGCGCTCGAGGGACCCGAGTTTAGCGGGCGCGTGTAAGGCCGGTTTATGGTGGCTATGCGATTCGCTTCGTACCCGGAGAGTTTAGATAAAGTCTTTTCGAGGCTTTTTATACATCCTTTTTCAATGGCCCGAAGAGTGCGCGGTCACTTGTATAAAGTTACGTTTGTGCCATTTTGCGAAAAAAGGTAGGCTTCTCGGGGCACGCCTATATGCGCCCAAGTTCCGCAATCAAATCAAAGGCCCGATAGAGATAAAAGGCGCGCTTTGAGCCCCCGTCAAAGCGTAAGTACATAGTGAAAAAGTGGTAATTGAAAACTGCTTTTAACTCGTCGTGGATGGGAGAGAATGGCACAGCGGCAAAATTTCCCTCTGAAACTTTCCACGAGGACTTAACGCTCGTATATCTCATCTCGTCTTTGTCCGACGCAACCGCGAATGGCGAGAGAATATATAATATACGTGCGCGGCTCTTCCTCGAAAATTCACGCGAGAGAGCGTGAATTATGTCCCTACGCATAATTACCCCGGCTCCCGCGGGATACTCCGAGCGCAACTTTTTAATTGAAGCTCGAGCCAGCCGTGAATGATAATGTATGCTAACGAGGCGAGTCCCGTCACGTACTTTGCGTGATGCATGCTGTGGGAGAATCGGCCCCTGTGGAGGTGTATACTTAGTTTCATACGTATATTTGTATATTTTTTTTGTTTTTTTGTTTTTTCGGTGACGACACGGGTGTAGAACAGCGGTTGCAGCTGTTTTCGAGTGTCACGACTGTGCCGAAGTTTCACGAAAATTTTCACCATACATTTTGAAGAACTACACGCGCTCGCTTATCGTCATACCTTTTAAGTTTTTTTTCAAAATACTCATTTTTTGCTAAAAGCATGGTGCAAAAAATGTATTGAATTATACGTGTTTTCAAATACTTTGCAGTAAATTTTAATTTACAAAATTCATTGCAATTGTTTGCACAGAATAAAATAATTCTTTCAATGTGTTGCTAATATATAGTGATGAGTAACACATTTTTCGGCAAAAAAAATGCACTTTGTTCGGGTAAAAAACGAATTTACTTTCAAAGTATTTAAAAATCCATCAAATACTCTTGCCCAAACTATATACGACTCCGGACTCGGTTCAGAATATTTGATGGAAAAAGTTCATTCCAAACGACACTGGCAGCTCTCGATAATGAAAAAAAAAAAAAAAAAGACTCAACTACTTCAGACTTTTTTTTGCAAAAAAAACTCCCATATTCTCGAGAGCTTCCAAAATTGATTTCCGATCGCCAAAGGCCCAAGGGCTCGTTCATACGACATCGCCAAAGGGTTCATCCAATGGGAGCGATGAAATTAATTTTAACAACCCTTACCCGTGTACTCACTGCATCGCATCCAAATCACGCAACTCTCTCCGTTGATTTCAGAATCACGTATCCGTCATTGCTGAGTATTAGTGACTACACCAGCCTCCGTGTAAATAACAAATAACAAGACTCAAGTATACAAGCACCTGCCCACGCATGGACTACTCGTCACAGATGGCACAATCGGTGCAAGTCGTGGACAAATGAGTGTACGCATATACACTCAACGACACGTAAGAGGACATGAGGCCATAAGTGCACGTGGCAGTGGAGGAGGCTACAACACTAAACTATACTGTGCCTGTACTTTTTGTGCCAACTAAAGAACGTGTACCCATGCACATGTGTCGTAGTAATGATGATGATGCTAATATAGTGCGCGGCTCTTGAAACAATAGGGCGTAGCAATAGCTGCAAGTGCGCGTTAGCGGGAATATTACTATAATAAAAAAAAAAAAAAAAAAAAGAATTACAAAAACAACAAGAGCACACAAAGTGTGAATCAACGAGATATACGTACGAAGCAAAGAGGGGAGGATACAACATGGGGAAGAAAAACAGCAAGCTCAGGCAGGACACTATCGACCGGCTGACTACGGCCACCTACTGTAAGTTGCAATTTTTATGTCTCTTTTAAATATTTCGCGGTCCTCGTGGACCCACGCAGTCCTTTCACTTCTCCCTGGACCCCTTGTACTCCCGTGTGCTCCCCCATCCGCACTGAAACAGGCATAGCTGAATTTTTAAAGCGACGGACAGATTTGGCTCGGCTACCGCGGTTTTGCCTTTTGCGCGCACCACTTGATAATACACGTAGCCTCCAGGGTTTCTCTCGCGTGAATCTTGGAATTTTTCCAGAGCCCCGTCCACCGGGACTCCAAATCTCACCCGAGTGCCGTTTTTCTTTGTTATTCAAGGGGCTCTGAAATTTTCTTATCTAGGCTTATCTTTTTTCGAGTAAAAGAGGAAGGAAAAACCCAAGATCCAAAGTAGTACTCCCAAGCATCATAGAAACGAACGGTCAGGCGGCGACGCAGTCACATTACCGGAGCAGTGAGGGGATGAAAGTTTGTAAAACTGATTTGTGCCGTGAAAGGCCCCCGCCTTTCTCCCGGGACGAGTGACAGCGTGAATTAAGTTGGGAAGGCCGAAGAAAAACAAAAAAGTAAGTCATTGTGACGAGTGGATGATTCGATTTGGACAAAGTTAGGACAGGGGCCCGGGCGCATATAATATCCCTCGTACGCAGGCGGTTTTCGTATATCCTCTCTCGATCGCAATCCAGAAGGCTGTGCATCGGCATGCGTCATCCCAAGCGAGAAATTATTCACCGCAAAAAAAAAAAAAATTAATGCAAAAAGTTCCTCGCCCATTCGCTGCTGGGAATGTCATTTCGCGTACTCGAGATCTACACACGCTTATACCTCTTTCGAGGGGGGTCCATTTCAACTTTCCTGCATCTCGGAAAACCGGTATTGAAAAAGGGAAAAAAAATTTTCTTTCACAAGACTCGTACATCTACGCTCCATCGGGGGGCTCATATTGATCGTAATTACACGCGTGCCCATCGAACCGCAAAAACGGAGCGTAACAACAGATAGTCGGCCCATTTATTATTCGTATACGCTCCCTTTTGCGGCGACGCAACGGCGAAAGAAGGCCGCGCTTATGCAAAAATAAATTACACCTCCGCCAGTCGAAAGAAAAACTTTTTCTTGTTCACCCCCACCATGAGTACCGTACGAAACAACACTTACCTATACACTTGTATACGAAAAGCTCCTCGTGATACCACTTTGTTTCCTCGCACACGTATACAGCCCGGTAAAGCAAAGGCTCACTTTACGAGGCACCTCTTCAGTCGCACGCGGTGCCGGTGTCTCCCCCCCAAGCGAGTTAAACAGAAGACGCGGAGCTTTGAGCTCGGCTCGCGCTTGGCTACCCGTCAATCGAACCGCGCGGCACTACCCCCCCCCCCCCCAATACCCTCGATTCCGCTCGCCCGAGCGGAGCATCATCGGCATATTATCCACAGCGTGCACCCTCGCGTATACACCGGCTCCTCGGTTCCGTAGATTTTCTCTGGACTCGGGAGATGCGTTTTGGCCCAGGTGCATACTATTCCCCGGGGAGATTGGAACTCGTCTCTCGATTGATTTTTCTCTCCTCCCGCGGGAGGGATTCCGAGGATTACGGTATATAACGGGCGTGGGGTTGGAGCGCGGAATTAAAAGTCCTCGGGATCGCCCCGCATACGCGATTATAAATTCTCGTCTGATCGAAAAAGTATATAATATACGAACGATTCCTCTCTATTCCATTTTATGTCGCTTTGGATTCAAGAAATAACGGGTGTGGATAAGTAAATCACTTCGGTGGATCAGCGCGTGAGTTACGGCACATTGGGGTAGTTGCACGAAGAAATAACGTGTGGAGCTGGATCGATCGGTTCGCTGGTACGGTGCGTGATGGTCTATACACGAGGGCGGACAGGCGTCAAGCGTCTCGTTGGATTATCCGATAGGCGAGCGAGCGTTTCAAAGAATTTTTGGAAAAGGGCTCGTTGAGTTGGGGCTTTCTGCTCAAAAAAATTTCAGTTGTTCCTCCGAAAGGTTTTCCCTTGGAGATTGATGCAACGTGTTGTTTTTTTTTTCCTTCGAATTTTTTTAAGCGGAATTTTTCGTGATATGCAGTGCCACACCGGTACGAGTATACGTGGGGATTAAAATTTTCCCCGATACGCTGCCAGAAGTGCTGGTTAAGTGCTGATGTTTTCTCTTCGTCTTTTTTCCCTTTTATCGGGTACGCCGCAACGGGCGTGTGTTTTTCCCCTCGTACCCGCTACACCGAGTGCACGCTCGCTCGGCGGAATTTTCATCGGCCACAAAATACTGCACTGATTATCGCTTATACACATATGCTATATACCTCCCGTCAAGAGCCCAGATTTTCTCTCTCTTTTTCTTTTGTTTTTCACTAATGGACGCGTGCAATCCACCGAAACAAGGGCGCCTGGCAATATCCTGTTTGCAGCTGAAAAAAAAAAAAAAAATCCTCGGTGGTATTATTTCAATCGAAAAGTATATAGGGAATGTAAACAATTTAAATCAAACGGCGATTCCGTTATTTATCGGCGAGCGAGAAGATTGTGCTAAAATCGTTAGTGAAAACAATCGCCGACGCGCGACAAAATCAATGGACGTATACGAGGTACAAGCACCGCGGAACTAGTATAAACAACCAAAACGTTGACCTAATAGGATTACGATTTCAAAGTGTGTACACCGTGGGTACGGAGAAATAACTATATACCCATTACGTGTGTATACATCGTATAGGTAAATAACATATATATGTGGCGAAAGCTAGAGGTAGGGGTGTGTATATGTGTATATACCTAATGCTGTGTCAATATTTCTTTCCTCCGGTGCCGTTCGTATACGCGCGCGTAAAAAAAGGCGCGGCAGCAAGCACGCCTGTATCTGTACGTAAACACATATGTGCCGGGAAATCGGAGAAGCGATCGGATCTGCGTGCACACGCTCCTTGAATACTTAAATTTGTCCGCGCATACATACATACATACATATATATCGGAAGGGGGGGGGGTACCGAAAAAGAGCACTTGCCTCCACTTGATACTTAATTCAGTCGAGATTTTATTCTCGTCCCCGTGAAGCCTCGCTACAGTTGTACTACTTTATTTGTCCGTTGGATGACGCGGGATCGATCAACACGACAACGAAGCTAAGCCAGCCGTCAGTGTAGGTAACTGTGTAATATGCTATGGGGCGGCTTATGCGTCCGCGTTTGCTGCAGTAGAGTAGGTCCGAGTTCAGTCGGACAAAGGAAAAATCGAAGCGTCGCTCGATCGTCGTGCTCGTTTTACGTGCAACGCGTACATATATATATATTATATACGAGGATGAAAAAAAAAGAGGACGGCATTGTCGTTCAGCATGTATATTATACACGATACACAAGTACATACTGTCACTTACACGGGATAACCGTGTGAAATTACACGCGCGACCACCTGAAACTTGGCCTGTAATTTTGTCCATCGAGCTACGCCTGTGGGCGTAAAAGCAAAAACGCCGCTTCGTCGCGCAAATTATAAGCTGTCGGAAGCAAATCGATCCGTAGAAAAGAAAAAAAAAAAAAAAAAAAGCCAGAGTGAGAATCGAGCGCGCGTTAACTACTGCAGCAATTACGGGCTGCACTCTAATATATGTATAGGCTGGAAGTGCGGGCAAGACGGCGATAAGCTACGAAACCGATTACCCGATGAAACCTCGCTACTGCACTCTAAAGCATATATTATTATGTCGCTGTACGTGGAACCCCACGAACTGTGTCCCGTAATTGACTGGCTCAATGGTGATTCGCATAATCTATCTCTCTTGATTTATACGGATGGGGATCCTTTCGGCATTTCAATTGCAAGTTGTACAATCCCCATGATCCTCGTTATAAATTAATAAAACTGGCTCGTACTTCCATCTCGTGGCACGAGTACATATAAATTAAAAAAAAAAAAAAATACAAAAAATGATCGCGGGGTAGGTACACGAGAGCTCGCAAACCAATTTCCAACAGCGAAAAGACGAGTCATCCGAGTCGCAATAATCGGAGCTCGACACGCGAGCCTGTTGCAGTGCCTATACTACACGTGTATGTATAATCATCACAAGGGCCCGGCTTATCCAAGCTCAGCTAAAACTGTACTACGAGCCTTGTCGTGCCTACGTGAAATTAATGAATGGTATTATAAGCTCACAGGGGCTTACGTATCGGCAATGTATCGGTAATAATAAATAAATCCCACAGCACGAGTGTAAGGTGGCCGATTGTGGTATTGCCGATCGCGTGTCACGCGAAGCAGGGTTGACTGATGGAACGAGCTTTGTTGGGCCATTATCAGATTACTCCTGATCTCGTAAAGCCCTTGTCCATAAAAATACACCCTCGAAGCCTCAAAAAGCCGGTTCGCGGAACTGATTCGAAAACATAATTTATACATCGTACAGTTGGCGTCCGATCGGATCATGGAGTGGAATATAAACAACGAGACACTCCGACGACTCGGATTCGGTAATCGGCTCAACTTTACTTTTCCATTAGTTACATTTTCGTTCAAAGCCATGCAGCTATTGAGTAATACTCTTTGCACTGCAGAAAATAGTAGCCACACGCGTGCTGGTCGAAATATTACTTCCTTTGTGTTTGCGCGCTGCTTTGAAAGGCGAATAGATGCCGGTGCCCAAACTCAAGTTACGATTCCCCGAGCCATTGTTTCTCCCAGATCGCACTGATCGGTGGGAAAATTATCCATACCCAATGCGGCAGGTACGAGGTCAGCGTGAATTTTTTATTTTCTTTCGTTGCCGCTGATCAATTTATCGCTGTACTGCTACTGTGACACACTTGGGTTGTACATGAAGACAAAACAAATGGCTAATTCTGATTGTTCAACAAAATATGTTTTTTACTTTCCGGGACAGAACGTATGACTAAGCACGCGGAGGGAGTATTGTATCCATAGTGACAGTTCCTTGATTTCACGAACGAGAAAATTTAATTGAAATTCTCTCTTGCTCCAGCGGCG